TTCAAGACCCCCCAAAAGCCCTTCAAGACCCCCCAAGACCCCGTCGAAGCCCCCCCAGCGTGCCGGGGGTCCCACCTGGACAGGTCGAGGCTGTGGGGCACCCGGGCCAGGTCGTTGACCAGCCCCTTCTTGAGGAAGAGCCGGATGATGTTGTTCATGCCGTTGTGGGGCGGCTTGGCCGCGCTGCTGTAGAAGCTCGAGGTGGACGGGCACGACTCCATGATGGTGCTGATGATGCACATGACGGCCTGGAGCCTGTGGGGACAGGGGGACAGGGGTCACGTGATGGGAGGGACATGGGGTTACACCATGGGGACATGGGGTCACATCACAAGGACACAGGGCACAGGGTCACACCATGGGGACACGGGGTCACACCATGGGGACATGGGGTCACACCATGGGGATATGGGGTCACACCACGGGGACACGGGGTCACACCATGGGGATATGGGGTCACATGATGGGAGGGACATGGGGTCACACCATGGGGATATGGGGTCACATGATGGGAGGGACATGGGGTCACACCACAGGGACATGGGGTCACATCACAAGGACACAGGGCACAGGGTCACACCATGGGGACATGGGGTCACACCACGGGGACATGGGGTCACACCATGGGGACACGGGGTCACACCACGGGGATATGGGGTCACATCACAAGGACACAGGGTCACACCATGGGGACATGGGGTCACACCACGGGGACACGGGGTCACACCATGGGGACACGGGGTCACACCATGGGGACACGAGGTCACACCATGAGGACATGAGGTCTCATCACAAGGACACAGGGTCACACCATGAGGACATGAGGTCACATCACAAGGACACAGGGCACAGGGTCACACCACAGGGACATGGGGTCACACCACAAGGACACAGGGTCACACCATGGGGACATGGGGTCCCACCACAGGGACACGGGGTCACACGATGAGGACACGAGGTCACATCATGAGGGGGACACAGGCTCACACCATGGGGACATGGGGTCATATCATGAGGGGGACACGGGCTCACACCATGGGGACATGGGGTCACATCACAAGGACACAGGGTCACATCATGAGGACATGAGGTCACATTGTGGGGGGGTCTTTAAAGGCGCCCCTGTCCCCATGGTGTCCCTGAGGTGTCCCCACATTGTGCCCACAGTGTCCCTGTGTTGTCCCCACGTGTCCCTGAGGTGTCCCCATATTATGCCCACAGTGTCCCTGTGTTGTCCCCACGTGTCCCTTTGTCCTCAAATTGTCCCCTTGCTGTCCCCACACTGTCCCCATGGTGCCTCTGGGGTGTCCCCATGGCATTTATGGGGTGTCCCCAGGGTGTCCCTGAAGTGTCTCACACTGTCCCCAAGTTGTCCCGTTGCTGTCCCCGTGCTGTCCCCACACTGTCCCCACCTTGTCCCCGTGCTCTCCCGCCGCTGTCCGTGTGCCGTTCCCAGGGTGTCCCCACACTGTCCCCGTGCTGTCCCCACATTGTCCCCACACTGTCCCCACCTTGTCCCTGTGCTCTCCCGCCGCTGTCCGTGTGCCGTTCCCAGGGTGTCCCCACACTGTCCCTGTGTTGTCCCCTCCCCGTCCCCCTCTGCCCCCGTACCTGGCGTGTTTCTCGGTGCTCTCGGCCATGGCCAGGGCCCGGCCCAGGGCGGCCTTCACCTCGTTCACCAGGGCCACCTGGGCGTCGGTGCCACTGCCCGCGGCCGCCAGGCTGGCCAGGAACAGCCGCGCCAGCGCCGGCGTGTCCTTGTCCTCCGCGTTCTGCTGGTGCGGCAGCAGGTGGTCCAGGACGAAGGCCAGGACACTGCAGTCCTGTGGGGACAAGGGGGTCACCAGGGGGTGTCACTGGGGGGCACAGGTGGTCCAGGACGAAGGCCAGGACACTGCAGTCCTGTGGGGACAGGGGGGTCACCAGG